GGAGTAATAAATGCTACAAGTTTCAAACCAGTATGTGCAGCACTTGAACGTGGTCAAGTTTTGGTTGGAAGTGAAGATTGCTTATATTTAAATGTTTACGTACCAAAGACTAACCAGGTAAGAATTTTAATCAGTACCGATTACATTTAACTACAATACTAAAATTAAAAACGTTTTAATAATGGAGTACTCTGAAAATAAAAAGGTTTCAAATAGAAAAACAATTGAAGGCGACCAGCATTGTTTTAATATTCTTGTGGATATTAAAACAATGCTAAAATGGCTGCTGTTGTATGTGTCCTTAGACATTCTGTCTCAGTCTGTATAATTACCTATTTTAATAAATGAACTTAAGTCTTCTGCTACATTCCAGAATAATGAAGAATTGTCATTACCGGTAGTGGCATGGATACATGGAGGTGCATTTACTCGTGGAAATGCTCAATTCAATCCCTCATACCTAATTGAAAAGCCAATGATAGTAGTGACAATCGAATACCGTTTGGGAATAATGGGCTTCTTAAGTACCGTCGACCAAAATGCAATGGGAAATGCCGGTTTAAAGGATCAACAATTGGCATTACAATGGATTCAAAACAACATCGCGAATTTTGGCGGAGATCCCAACAGAGTAACAATTTATGGGCAAAGTGCTGGTTCTGTTTCGATAGAATACCAGATTTTATCTCCAAAAAGTGCAGGTTTGATATTCAGATTAATAATTGATTGTCAGATCCATCGACGTTTAGTAATGGACATGCCTTAGCGGTCAGATTTGTGGTACAACAAAAGAAAGAGATGGAACGAAGTTTCGGACAATATCCATCTCTCTCACGATAGTGCGTAAGCGTGTCATGCAAAAGATAGCACTAGTCCGAATCCATACGCCATCTCCTTAACTTTTCGAGCCAAGAAATTATTACAATGACATACGGCTAAGGCACGTCCATTAATATATGTCTATGGTCAGATCGACGTAGATCTTTGAGTGAGGACAGACCTTGGTCTGTTTTAGGTTTATTCAGCCAGGCAATTGCCAGCAGCGGAAGTACCCTCAACGAATGGGCATTTATCAAAAATCCCTTGCAACTTACCGTCAGACTTGCACGACGCTTTAATATAACATCCAATGATACAAAGCAAATTGTTTCTAGTTTACAACAAATCAGTTGGGACGCACTGGTTCGCAATAGTGAAGTAAGTCTTTATTTTCTAGAGTTTTAATCTTCTAATTCTTTTTCAACAATATTTACATAAAAATAGATTATTGTTCAGCATAGTGCTGTAACTATCTGACGAGTCAAGGATTGTCTTATCGTGAAGGAAACTGGATTTTCGGATTCTAATCGCGTCTTATTGATAAAATTAAAATGCCGGATCATGGAGGCGTCAAAAGTGTTTGACTTTTCGTCTCCAATCACAAGGCACATCTTCAGGAACTTCACATTGTCGAAACAGGATCTCTAACGTTGGTGCAGTTAAGTGAAGTTCCTGAAGATGTCCCTTATTATAGGAGCTGAGGTGCGAAACACTTTTGACACCACCAGTCCGTTACGTGGGGATTTCATCAGTAAGACAGGGTGAGATTCCGGAAATACAGTTTCTTCAGACAATAGCCGTGGAAGCCTAAATCGGCTCGTCAAATCTGTTTAAATCAGTTTGATAATTAAATCAGTTTCTGATAATCCTTTTGTTCGTAGGTTTATGGAAGATTCGTACCAAGCGTTGAGGCAGAGAGTTCTGACGCTTTTATGAGCCAGAGCACTTATGATCTGTGGAGCGCTGGAAAATTCAATAAAGTCCCTTTTCTGAGAGGATACAATAGTGAAGAGGGCGCGTATGGCAGACGTAAGGGAAAGTTTCTCCTGGACAGTTGCAAAATTATCTATATATTTTAATATTACAGCTTTTTATACGCAATATGGTAACAATTCCAAAACGGTAATTCCTGCTGGACTTAACATGAATCTGAGTTCGTCTGAAGCTGATGAAGTTGTCAATGTTATAAGCGAGCGGTACTTCCCTGGAAAAAGTTATACCAACTTTACAAACGCCATTAATGTAGGTGACTACTTTTTAATCGTTAGGGAATCTTTTTCACATACGCTTCTATTATTTTAGTTTATGACCCAACAGTATTTTGTCAAGGGTATAAGGAAAGTAGCACGCGACTACGTAAACTCCTCAACGCCCTTGTTTTTCTACAAATTTACTTACGTTACTAAGGAAAATTACACGAGAGGTGTAATCGGTAAGTAAATTTTAAAACGACAATACATCTCTTGGTCGGTTCAATTTACATATGATGTGGAATTGCCTCACAAAGTGAATGAAACCGTTGTCATATCATTTACTTTTATTTTCACTCGTGGGCCATGTTGGAATATGGCGGACTAGTACGTCGCGCTTGCGCAAATTTCCGAATCTAAACGGAATATACCTAAACAAAAGATTAAATAAATAAACGATGGAGATGGTTAATGTAATGGTATTAAATCTGTCGTAAGGTGGAGTATTGTTTTAAAATAGGCTGATATTTCGCCAGCGGACGTCTAGCCTCAGCGTTAGCTATAATCTAATGTAAGCCAACGTTCCTTTTAGATTGTCATTTTATTGTATTTTAATAGGTGGCGCTGGGCATGCAGAAGAAATAGTTTACGTGTGGTATTCAAGAAAGTTACTAAATGATGAAGATGTGTTAATGAAGGACCGTATGACCACATTACTGGCAAATTTCATCATTAATGGGTTTGTGGAAATTTGTAAAAACAATTTCTATATTTTTTATGTAGCTACAGTATGCACAACAGTCCTCGTTATATACTTATTCAGTGTTTTCGATTTACATCCAAGTATAGTCTAGTTCAATATCAAAACTGGCAAGATGCGGTTGGTGGGAGAGGGAGGAGCAAAGGGTGGAAATCGCTTCCTAATAAAGTGCATGATGCATACCATTTTATTGCATATTTTACATTATTCGGCATGGGGGATAGGAAATAAAAGATGGAAGAAGAGGGGTGTAGAGAACGTTCCCCCCAAGGGTTCCCGGCCGTTAAACAGTCTGAAAAAGTCTGTAACACGGTTTGTATTATGTCCACATATAAGTGTGGGTTTCACTCTATGTTGTGTAGGTTAGGTTAGTTCGACTAAAAGTTCCCCGCCTTCCTCTACATCTCAGTGGGATTTTCGTACCCCTTCTCCTTTCCTTCTCCCTAACCGGACCCACTGCAATGTCGATGTATGGAAATTATGCTTGAAAAATTACATACAAGTTTTGATTTCCCTTTGCGTTTCTCTTGGCTACCAGGGGGCTGTTTCCACCACTCCTCCTCCTGCTACTCTACATATGACCAACTAAATCAAACGCAAACTACAAGTTCTGTGTTTGAAACAAACTAGTCAGTGAATCCTTTTTATAATTGAGTTTTACGGAGAAAACTTGTTCTTTCATATTTCGGCCCCACGTTTTCTTAATTAAATTATTTCAGACATCCAACACCTGAAAAGGATCCCGTGCTCCAAAATGTAAGTTGGCCTGAAGCATCAGATGGTATTGAAAGTGTTGATGACATCCGCTATATTGAAATTGGACGTAATTTGGTACCAGGCCTTAACCCAGACCATGAAGATTTTCTTTTCTGGAAAGACTTGTTTAGAAAATACGCAAAACCACCAATATATACTTACTGAAATATGGAACTCATGAAATTGTCATTTAAATGTGTAATCCAAAAATACAAATAAATAATTTGCGTTATCAGAATATACGTTATTATATACACTGTTTACCATATGCACCTACCATTATTTTTCTTTGTAGAAATTATGCTTAAACCATTCCTTTGCAAAGTTAGGATGACTTCGGGAGCAAAGGAAAGTTCTTTTCGTTTTATTAACAGCTACTCAACTCTCACTATTCCCCGGTTTAGGTCTCCACTGATTTTTCCAGCCGAAGTTGCCTAATTTTCAATAGTCCAANATTTAACCGTTAAAAATAATGAAACTAGCCACTCATTTAAATCTTGAATCATAGGAATTTGTGATTTTGAAGATCCCATGCGCTTCATTTTTCGAGAGGTGACGCGTCTCTTAATGTGAACCGCGCGGTATTTATAATTTCTTTCAAACTGATGTATTTACATAATGTTACCTAGTTTTGACTTGGGAGCCTCTCCCCACGTGGTTCAACTTAGCCTTTTGTCAACCCCGCCCTCTTTAGGTGGCTTCATGGTTTATGAAAGATCCCTAAGCGTACTACAAAACGTCTAAATATACCAATCATTACTTTTTGTAAATTTATATGGTAGATTAGTTACTGCTAGTACAAGTAGACAAATTAGTTACTTATTTTTTATTTTATTTTCAACAACTCCATTGATAAACAAAGGAAAATTTTGCTCACACACGCGCAAAAGACACAGAATTATCAATCTTATCAAACTGTTGCTTTATAATATTGTCGATAATAGTCAATGATTTACGTAAAAGTGGTCATGACATTGCGAAGAATGATGACTGTTATCAAGGGCGTCATTAGTTTTCTTCCAAGATTCTTCAGATTTTATCAAACGGAAGAATGGAGCCACGCTCCCCGCGAGACAACTTAGCAACTCCCTATAAACCCGAGCTCTGAAAGTTGATGTGCTGAAAGCCTCTGATAACAAAACATTACATTATTATGAATTAATTACTAATTTTTTTATAAGAGCAAATATTTGCTCTCTTATACTGTGTTTCTCAATAAAATTATTTACCAATAATCATATCTCAATTTTGAGTGTATTGTTTATGCTCACGCCTGTTTCTTTCTTTTTCTAGAATATACCTCTAAAATTTTTAAGAGCTTGAGTTTACGCTATCGTCTGCTTATCAAATCGAAATTATTTCGAGATTATTGGGTTATCGGGTGATTGAGAGCTTGGGATTATAAGATTGTATCAGATTTTCTATCCATCGATATACACGTTTAAAAATAATTATCATTTCCGAACTATAAATATCCATAGCTAAGTAAGTCGTAGTGAGCCCTGAGATCCAGGATTCTATATACACGTAATGACGCCCTTGACTACTGTTCTTTTAAGTACCCTCTGTTTGTTACTTTCTGATGAGGCTACTGGGGTAAATTGACTCATGTATGATGAAAAAACGACCTTTTATACTGTTTTTTTTTAGTACAACCTAACTGTGAAAACGAATCACGGATATGTGCGTGGATATGAAGCAACCAGCTCAGCTAATCCAAATGTCACCTACTACGCATTCCAAGGAGTTCCTTACGGAAAACCTCCTGTAGGATCGTTACGATTTCAAGTAAGAACAAAAGAAAAATAATTTATAGACTAATACGTACTAATCTCAATAATATGTGGTTGAAACAAATATTTAACAAAAATTGTATTTTACAAGGATCCTCAACCTGTTCCATCGTGGGAAGGAGTAATAAACGCTACAAGCTTCAAACCAACTTGTGCAGCACTTGAAACTGGACGAGTTGCAGCTGGAAGTGAAGATTGTCTATANGTTCTGTGTTTGAATCCTTTTTTAATTGGGTTTTACGGAGAAAACAAGTCCTTTCATATTTCAGACATCCAACACCTGAAAAGGATCCCGTGCTTCAAAATGTAAGTTGGCCTGAAGCATCCGAAGGCATTCAAAGTGTTGATGACATCCGCTATATTGAAATTGGACGTAATTTGGTACCAGGCCTTAACCCAGACCATGAAGATTTTCTTTTCTGGAAGGACTTGTTTAGCAAATATGCAAAACCAACGATATATACTTATTGAAACATGAAACGCATGTATGTTACGTAAAATTGTCATTTAAATGTGTATACCGATCAGAATATACGTTATTACACACTGTTTACAATATACAGATATTTCTTCTATGCACATATAATTTTTTTTATTTTTTCGTAGAAATTATGTTTAAACCATATCTTTACGAGGTTAGGATGACTTCGCGAGCAAAGGAAAGTTCTTTTCCTTTTATTAACAGCTGTTCAATTCTGCACTATTCCTCGGTCTCCACTGATTTTTTTAGCCTAATTTTCAATAAGTCAAATCAAAAAATACTACAGAAATATATTTGATAGAGACTTTTCCAGATTAAGCTCTAAAGCGATTCTAAGATAATGCTTCGTCTGGTAGTATCTCAATGAGAGTAGTTTGTATGCATTTAACCAGTACCAGAACGTAGATGTGGTGTAGGTACTGTATAATAATGTCGCAACCAATTCAAATAATTCGATAATTCCGCCTAGGAGGATTCGGAAAGGTTAAGAGTGAGTTTAAGTTATGATAGTTTTGTATTTAAATTTTCAACCGTCTTATGATACATTTGGTTATATAAGGCTTATTGAAAATAATAATAATCGAGGGCGCCATCATGTTACAATTAGCCTGGCAATCTACCACGTGCGTTTAATGAAACTTCTGAAACGTAATATGATGCATTCTAATCTTCATTATGTCAGTCGTTACTTATTTGTACGTTTTACTATTTCCCATGCCATTTTGATACATTAAGGTACCATAGAAGAGGTACAAATAACATCCAATTCATCGCAATGTTATTGAGTAATTAACAATAAATAAAACGTCGACAGTTGGAAGTTCCAAACACCAAAATAGACATATTCTTATTTTTTTATTTAATTCTCACTAACTCAATTTCTCAGAATTATCAAAAATTGCTTGAAACGCGCACAAGGGTCATTCACAACTGTCAATCTCATTCTTGATAAAAGATTTTCCTAAAAGTGATAATATTGATTGGTTGACTTTATCAAACAAATACCAGGAACACTCCAACGTCCTCGTGAGCGTATTATCTGCCTAAAAATCCAGCGGTTTATAAGACCTAGCTCTCAAAGTTGATACGCCGGAGACCTTAGATAGTTAAGGATAAGTCGTGGAAGCCCCGGATCCTTTAATACACGTAATGACGTCCCTGACTGTTGCCACTGCTGTTCTTTTGAGTACCCTCTGTTTGTTACTTTCTAATGAGGCTTCTGGGGTAAATTTACTGCTGTAGGAAGAAGAAAGAACCCTTCAAAGGTTTTATTGTTGTTTTAGTATAACTTAACTGTGCAAACGAAGCATGGATATGTGCGTGGATATGAAGCCATCAGTTTAGCTAACTCAAATGTCACTTACTACGCATTTCAAGGAGTTCCTTACGGAAAACCTCCTGTAGGATCGTTACGATTTCAAGTAAGTACAAAAAGTGATAATTTCATTATGACCTATAAACTAATGTTACATACACAGATATTAATACAACTTAAAGAAAAATGAGGTTAGCAATATGTAAACTGATGTTGTCCTGATTCGGCTCATCTAAAGGTTGTCCTCGGTTGGACTCGCTTCCTAAAGTTTCGCTAGCACGAGTGGCGAACTCCTTTAGGGGTCCTTCGATCTCCGATGCCGGATTTGGTCTGGACTTAACTGGACTCGAATCAGGACACCATTAGTTCCCCTACTGGCCTCAAAAGCTTTTATCAATTTGTACTAATATGTAGTTGAGATAATGTTTAAATAAATTTGAAATTTTGTAAGGATCCCCNTCCAAATCAAAAAATACTACAGAAATATATTTGGTAGAGACTTTTCCAGATTAAGTTCTAAAACGATTCTAAGATAATGCTTCGTCTGGTAGTATCTCAATGAGAGTGGTTTTTATACATTTAACCAGTACCAGAACGTAGCCGTGGTATAGGTACTGTATAATTATGTAGCAACCATTTCAAATAATTCGGTAATTCCGCCTAGGCGTATTCGAAATGGTTAAGAGGGAGTTTAAGTTATGATAGTTTTGTATTTAATTTTTCAACCGTCTCGTGATACATCTGATTGTATAAGGCATATTGAGAAGTTAAAATAATAATAATCGAGGGCGCTATAATGTTGCAATAAGCCTAGCAATCTACCACGTACGTTTAATGAAACTTCTGAAACGTAATATGATGCATTCTAATCTTCATTATATCAGTCGTTACTTATTTGTACGTTTTACAATTTCCCAAGTCATTTTAATACATTAAGGTACCATAGAAGAGATACAAATAACATCCAATTCATCGAAATTTTATTGAGTAATTAGCAATAAATCAAATGTCGACAGTTGGAAGTTCTAAACACCAAAATAGACATGTTCTTATTTTTTTATTTAATTTTCGCTAACTCAATTTCTCAGAATTATCAAAAACTGCTTGAAACACGGACAAGGGTCATTCACAACTGTCAATCTTATTCTTGATAAAAGATTTTCCTAAAAGCGATAGTATTGATTAGATATGATTGATTTTATCAAACAAATACCAACGTCCCCGTGACCGAACCATCTGCCTAAAAACCCAGCGGTTTATAAGACTGTGCTCTCAAAGTTGATGTGCTGGAGACCCCAGATAGCTAAGGATACGTCGTGGAAGCCCCGGATCCGTTAATACACGTAATGACGTCCTTGAGTGTTGCCACTGCTGTTCTTTTGAGTACCCTCTGTTTATTACTTTCTAATGAGGCTTCTGGGGTAAATTTAATGTTGTAGAAAGAAGAAAGAACACTTCAAAGGTTTTATTGTTGTTTTAGTATAACTTAACTGTGGAAACGAAGCATGGATATGTGCGTGGATATGAAGCCATCAGTTTAGCTAACTCAAATGTCACCTACTACGCATTTCAAGGAGTTCCTTACGGAAAACCTCCTGTAGGATCGTTACGATTTCAAGTAAGAACAAAAGAAAAATAATTTATAGACTAATACGTACTAATCTCAATAATATGTGGTTGAAACAAATATTTAACAAAAATTGTATTTTACAAGGATCCTCAACCTGTTCCATCGTGGGAAGGAGTAATAAACGCTACAAGCTTCAAACCAACTTGTGCAGCACTTGAAACTGGACGAGTTGCAGCTGGAAGTGAAGATTGTCTATATGTAAACGTTTACGTACCAAAAACAAACAAGGTAAGAATGAATTAGACTTATAATTTAAATTTGATTTGTTGAAATTGAACGAGGAAACCCATAATTATCTATCGATTAAATTTAAGTGTTCTACTATTTATAATTTACAGGATAATGAAGAATTATTATTACCGGTGGTAGTATGGTTCCATGGAGGTGGCTTCACTCGTGGAAGTTCTCGGAATAATCCGTCGTACATGATTGAAAAGCCCTTGATAGTGGTGACAGTTTCCTACCGTTTGGGCATAATGGGTTTCCTAAGTACTCTCGATAAAAATGCATGGGGAAATGCTGGTTTAAAGGATCAGAGCTTGGCATTACAATTTGTTAAAAGCAACATCGTGCATTTTGGTGGAAATCCCAACAGGGTAACAATTTTTGGGCAAAGTGCTGGTTCTGCTTCGGTAGAATACCAGATTGTATCTCCAAAAAGTGCAGGTTTGTTGGTCAAATTAATAATTCATTGCCAGATCAACTTAGATCGTTGAGTAAGGATAGGCTTTGGTCTGTTTTAGGTCTATTTAGCCAGGCAATTGCCAGCAGCGGAAGTACTCTCAACGAATGGGGATTTAATAAAAACCCGTTAGAACTTACGATCAGATTTGCACGATGGTTTAATATAACATCCAACGACACAAAAGAAATTGTTGCTGGGTTACAAAAAATTGACTGGGAAACATTGATCCTCAATAGTCAAGTAAGTCTTAATTTTGATAATTTTTACTCATTTGATTCCTTCAGGCATGTATTTCTTTTCTATGAGTATTTATTCGACAGTAAGTTCTTGATGGTATTATTTATCTGTCTATTATTTTCCGAGTTCATTACAGAATATTTATGATAAATAAGATCTGCTTCCATTAGTTAAATAAAGTTATTTTCTAGGTTTATGGTAAGTTCTTGCCAAGCGTTGAGGCAGAAAGCCCTAACGCTTTTGTAAGCCAGAGTACTTATGATTTGTGGAGCGCTGGAAAATTCAATAAAGTCCCTTTTCTCAGAGGATACAACAATGAAGAAGGCTCGTATGGCAAAAGTAAGTGACAGCCTCTTCTTCTATACACTATTTAGATAATTATTTACAATTTCTAATCACTATAGATAGTTATACGAGATATGGTAATGATTCCAAAACTATAATTCCTGCTGGACTTAACATGGATCTGAATTCTCCTGAAGCTAATGAAGTTATCAATATTATAACCGAGCGGTACTTCCCNTATATGTAAACGTTTACGTACCAAAAACAAACAAGGTAAGAATGAATTACACTTATAATTTAAATTTGATTTGTTGAAATTGAACGAGGAAACCCATAATTATCTATCGATTAAATTTAAGTGTTCTACTATTTATAATTTACAGGATAATGAAGAATTATTATTACCGGTGGTAGTATGGTTCCATGGAGGTGGCTTCACTCGTGGAAGTTCTCGGAATAATCCGTCGTACATGATTGAAAAGCCCTTGATAGTGGTGACAGTTTCCTACCGTTTGGGCATAATGGGTTTCCTAAGTACTCTCGATAAAAATGCATGGGGAAATGCTGGTTTAAAGGATCAGAGCTTGGCATTACAATTTGTTAAAAGCAACATCCTGCATTTTGGTGGAAATCCCAACAGGGTAACAATTTTTGGGCAAAGTGCTGGTTCTGCTTCGGTAGAATACCAGATTGTATCTCCAAAAAGTGCAGGTTTGTTGGTCAAATTAATAATTCATTGCCAGATCAACTTAGATCGTTGAGTAAGGATAGGCTTTGGTCTGTTTTAGGTCTATTTAGCCAGGCAATTGCCAGCAGCGGAAGTACTCTCAACGAATGGGGATTTAATAAAAACCCGTTAGAACTTACGATCAGATTTGCACGATGGTTTAATATAACATCCAACGACACAAAGGAAATTGTTGCTGGGTTACAAAAAATTGACTGGGAAACATTGATCCTTAATAGTCAAGTAAGTCTTAATTTTGATAATTTTTACTCATTTGATTCCTTCAGGCATGTATTTCTTTTCTATGAGTATTTATTCGACAGTAAGTTCTTGATGGTATTATTTATCTGTCTATTATTTTCCGAGTTCATTACAGAATATTTATGATAAATAAGATCTGCTTCCATTAGTTAAATAAAGTTATTTTCTAGGTTTATGGTAAGTTCTTGCCAAGCGTTGAGGCAGAAAGCCCTAACGCTTTTGTAAGCCAGAGTACTTATGATTTGTGGAGCGCTGGAAAATTCAATAAAGTCCCTTTTCTCAGAGGATACAACAATGAAGAAGGCTCGTATGGCAAAAGTAAGTGACAGCCTCTTCTTCTATACACTATTTAGATAATTATTTACAATTTCTAATCACTATAGATAGTTATACGAGATATGGTAATGATTCCAAAACTATAATTCCTGCTGGACTTAACATGGATCTGAATTCTCCTGAAGCTAATGAAGTTATCAATATTATAACCGAGCGGTACTTCCCTGGAAAAAGTTATTCCAATTTTACAAACGCCATTAAAGTAGGTGACTGCTTTTTAATCGTTAGGTCATTTCTTATACTGAATTGATAATTCCGTTTTTATTATTTTAGTTTATGACTCAACAGTATTATGTCAAATGTATAAGGAAAGTAGCACGCGATTACATAAACTCCTCAACGCCCATGTTTTTCTACAAATTTACCTACGTTACTAAAGAAAATTACACGAGAGGTGTAATCGGTAAGCAAAATTTAAAACGACAATAGGTTTGTGTGGCTAATTGTCTGGCAATTGGACCTTCTTCACAAAGTGAATGTAACCGTTGCCATGTTATTCACTTTTGCCATCACTCGTAAGCCATGTTGGAAGATGGCGGACGAGTACGTCGCGCTTGCGGAAATTCCCGAATTTAGACGGAATTTATCTAAACAAAAGATTAAATCCGACAGGGTTGCATAAACGATGGAGATGATTAATGTAGTGGTATTAAATTCGTCGTAAGATGGACTAATTTTTCAAAATAGGAATATTCCGCCGGTGTACGTCTAGCCTCATTGTTAGTCATAATCTAATGTAATCCAACGTGCCTTCTAGGTTGTCATTTAATTAAGTTTTAATAGGTGGCGCTGTGCATGCAGAAGAAATAGTTTTTGTGTCCGTAAATAGAAAAATTTTTGAATTATTAAGAAAAGCGTAAATATTAGATTAAGGCAGTAAGACGGAGACTATATCAGCAGGACAAAGACCAAGAGACCAATTTTAGGACTAGAAGTATTTGAACAAGACCAATACTAAGACGAAAACTAGGACGGTCTTGGTCTTAGTCTTAGTCTTACTTTGCTCATCACTGATTCAAAATCATAACCTAAAATAAACTAACGTGACTGCTTTAGTTGTAATTATTTTATCGTATTTCAATAGGTGGCGCAGGGCATGCAGAAGAACTNGATCCTCAACCTGTTCCATCGTGGGAAGGAGTAATAAACGCTACAAGCTTCAAACCAACTTGTGCAGCACTTGAAACTGGACGAGTTGCAGCTGGAAGTGAAGATTGTCTATATGTAAACGTTTACGTACCAAAAACAAACAAGGTAAGAATGAATTACACTTATAATTTAAATTTGATTTGTTGAAATTGAACGAGGAAACCCATAATTATCTATCGATTAAATTTAAGTGTTCTACTATTTATAATTTACAGGATAATGAAGAATTATTATTACCGGTGGTAGTATGGTTCCATGGAGGTGGCTTCACTCGTGGAAGTTCTCGGAATAATCCGTCGTACATGATTGAAAAGCCCTTGATAGTGGTGACAGTTTCCTACCGTTTGGGCATAATGGGTTTCCTAAGTACTCTCGATAAAAATGCATGGGGAAATGCTGGTTTAAAGGATCAGAGCTTGGCATTACAATTTGTTAAAAGCAACATCCTGCATTTTGGTGGAAATCCCAACAGGGTAACAATTTTTGGGCAAAGTGCTGGTTCTGCTTCGGTAGAATACCAGATTGTATCTCCAAAAAGTGCAGGTTTGTTGGTCAAATTAATAATTCATTGCCAGATCAACTTAGATCGTTGAGTAAGGATAGGCTTTGGTCTGTTTTAGGTCTATTTAGCCAGGCAATTGCCAGCAGCGGAAGTACTCTCAACGAATGGGGATTTAATAAAAACCCGTTAGAACTTACGATCAGATTTGCACGATGGTTTAATATAACATCCAACGACACAAAAGAAATTGTTGCTGGGTTACAAAAAATTGACTGGGAAACATTGATCCTTAATAGTCAAGTAAGTCTTAATTTTGATAATTTTTACTCATTTGATTCCTTCAGGCATGTATTTCTTTTCTATGAGTATTTATTCGACAGTAAGTTCTTGATGGTATTATTTATCTGTCTATTATTTTCCGAGTTCATTACAGAATATTTATGATAAATAAGATCTGCTTCCATTAGTTAAATAAAGTTATTTTCTAGGTTTATGGTAAGTTCTTGCCAAGCGTTGAGGCAGAAAGCCCTAACGCTTTTGTAAGCCAGAGTACTTATGATTTGTGGAGCGCTGGAAAATTCAATAAAGTCCCTTTTCTCAGAGGATACAACAATGAAGAAGGCTCGTATGGCAAAAGTAAGTGACAGCCTCTTCTTCTATACACTATTTAGATAATTATTTACAATTTCTAATCACTATAGATAGTTATACGAGATATGGTAATGATTCCAAAACTATAATTCCTGCTGGACTTAACATGGATCTGAATTCTCCTGAAGCTAATGAAGTTATCAATATTATAACCGAGCGGTACTTCCCAGGGAAAAGTTATTACAATTTTACGAACGCCATTAACGTAGGTATTTGGTTTTCAATGGTTAGGCTATTTTCTATTATTAAAAATAAAGTTTTTATTATTTCTTTTTTCTGGAAACTCTTTATCTTTATTTTCATTAGTATTACCAGTTGATCAAGGTATTGACAGTATATTGGCGTATACTGATATAACTGTCAAACGTAATTTGATGAGATCGCATGCTGATGAGAACTACACTAATGATAGTTTCAATAAACTATTGACTAATGATTTATGCTGTCTGTTATTTATTATTCTAGTTTATGACCCAACACTATTTTGTCAGGGGCATAAGAAAAACGTCACGTGACTACGTAAACTCCTCAACGCCCTTGTTTTTCTACAAATTCACTTACGTCACTAAAGAAAATTATACTAGAGGTGCAAACGGTGAGTAAATTTTGAAATGACAACAAATCCTGATCTAATGTAACTCAGGTGACTCCTCTAATTGTGGTTTTATTCTGTTTTAAAAGGTGGCGCTGGGCATGCAGAAGAAGGGGTTTATGTCTGGTATTCAAGAAAGTTATTAAACGATGAGGATGTGCTAATGAAAGACCGGCATACCACATTCCTGTCAAATTTCATTATTTACGGGTAAGGGGAGTTTTATTTAACGACTTTTATAATTTTTGAAGTGAAGGGGTATTACGATTTTTTCTGTCACGAAAAAGCGTTACGGCCGCGTGGAGGGGGTGACGGTATATTGCGTGGTGAGAGATGGTAGTGGCGGAGGGAGAGAAAGGCTGGCGGCGGTGGAGAGAAGACAACGGCTGTATTAGATGGATATAATGCGCAGCCGCGCGGAGAGTGGGGAGTCCGCTGGAGTCCCGGCGGCGTGTGCTGTGCTCAGCTGTTGTTTTCTCACTTCTGCTCTCCACGTGGCTGGGCATCATTGCCTCTATTTGCGGTCTGTGTAAAGACCGAATCATAATTTGCAGTAAATCTGTGAAAACGAAATGTGTGCTGGGACACACAGTAGAAGTGAAACTGCAAAGGACAAGTGGAAAAACGAATGGCAACGGATATCTTCCTAGCAATGAGGATAGAGTGGAAGCATAAAATGATTAAAAAAAAAGTTTTTTTTTCATCATGATGCAGAGCACGGAGATGAGGGTGGGGGAACAGCTATTTCTATACGTCTTTCTCCTATTTCCTCTCTCCCCTTTATGCTACAATGTCGAATTAAATTAAAACCAAACCATTAAATTTTGGATATTATCATATTAATTTTTCTTTGTTTGGGTTAATTATTGGAATTAAATTATTTTAGACATCCAACACCTAAAAAAGATCCACTCCTCCAAAATATAACCTGGCCTGAGGCATCCGAAGGCATTCAAAGTGTTGATGACATTCGCTATATTGAAATTGGGCGTAATTTGGTACCAGGCATTAATCCAGATCACGAAGACTTCCTTTTCTGGAGAAACTTGTTTAGAAAATACGCCAAATCAACGGTATATTCCTACTAAAATATGAAACTCGTCTATATTGTGTGAAATACAATCAGAATATATATACGTCATTATATGTAGCAATAAAATTTGTTACAGAAACTGAGTTTAATTGTTATTTTTGCAAACTTTCCTTGACGATGTGCAAAATGATATAGATAAAAAATCAAATCAGTAAGTAACTTATTTGAAGAGATTGACATCTCAACAAGTACTTTGCCAGATTCATAAAAACTTTGAATGATGGCACCAAGATAAGTCGAAGATAACAAAACGCGTAATAGGCTGACTTATTACATGAAGTTATTTATGGTTAAAGGAGCTCACAACTAATTTAAATTTTCATGTTTTTGGCATTTTCTTTGTATTTGATACTGTGTCCAAAACTAGTAATAATGAAACTTTAACTGTAGGTGTAGTCGTATGTAAAGATATCAATGTTTTAAGTTCTTTTTAGTTTTGAGGAAACTTAAAAATAGGCGAAAAGATTTTATTTTTTCCATCGACATGGTTTGATAGTTATTAACTGAAAAGTTGCTGACATAATTAACTAATTTAAAAGAAAGCTTTTTAAAAAGATGCTTATAAGATATACAATCTAATTTTAACAACCAATTTGTCATTTTGGACATTTACGAAAAAGAAAATAACAAACAACTGTCACAGCCGATTAGATAAAGACTATAAAAGCACTTCTTAATAATTTCTACAATTTAAGTGCAAGAACGTGAAAATGGCGTCATACGTGTCATCCAGGGTGACATTGTTTGTCATTTTGTTAATTTGTATTAACGAATCATGTGGAGTAAGTTTCTTTATATTTATTTTTACACTGAGAAGTACAATTTTATATTAACAAATATCTCCTACATTACAGTACAATTTAACAGTTCTGACAGAAGGCGGATATGTTAGAGGCTATAGGTGGAGAAGTAATTCAAATCTTAATTTTGTTTTCTACGGATTCAAGGGAATCCCCTACGGAAAGCCACCAGTAGGAAATCTTAGATTTCAGGTAACTATGGCAGCTTTGCATACTACTCCGGTAATGATTCTTATTGCATGTCCGCATATTCTGTGTGCAATTACATTGTTTTTTGTTCGATTTTCTGACACTCAACTTATTTTGTATTTTGTGGCAATAGCAGAAACTTTGCCAATCGAATAGTAACTACTTCTAATAATAGTTACACGTTGAATTGGCCTGCTTGTGTACCAGCTGTTGCCAAGGTCGCGGATAGGTATGAGCGGCTGTCAAACTGTGAATTTCTTTTACATACCCTACGTTGCGGTGCTATCACGAGATGCACCATATACTGCCCCCAGTTGTTATCTTTCAAACATATTTCGGAATACTGATCAGACATAGTGTATAACGTATACTACATATACTGTCACTCGATATTAGTCACCTTGCTTGAATGGAGCTACTCTTGATAACATTTAAATCGCGAATTAACTCTGGCAATTCCTATCAATTATTCATAAATAACTTTATACACTTTGGTTTACCCTTTTGTAAAAATATTTTATAAATTTAAAGAACGAAATTATATTAGAGTTCAGTCAAACTTGATTCATATTCTTCAACATTAAACAAGGTTTGTATTCTAAAGGCCCTTGTGGATACTGTATGGTAAAATTGCAATTAATGAAGAAACCTTGATTTTATTGTATAAATAATGTATCATTTATTAGAAAATCTTTCTATAGATAAGCTATTGAGAATTTATGACAAGCATACTACAATAAAATAGACAATATCAAAGTATTTTGAACACACGACAGTTGTTATTGATATTAAAAATGCTTACTGCATTACTTACCATTTCGAAATCCAATCTAGGATCCTCAACCAGCTGAGCCTTGGGATGGGATTAAATTGGTCAACTCCAATCCCGATTCGTGTGCAGCCCACCAAAGTGGATCTGCTGGAAGTCCTGTAATTGGAAGTGAAAACTGCCTATACTTAAGTGTATATGTAACGCGAACAGATGAGGTACATAAACAACAAAAACCATTTATAAAACATAAAAATTAAGAGCAATCAGTTCCCTACAATGCCAAGCGAAGAAAAATTATTAACACATAAAAAAAACAAATTAAAGTTAGTTTTCTTTAGAAGATAGTCGGCCATATTGTTTTCTTTTTTATATATATTAAATTAACTAAACAACTAAAAATATATTTAAAAATTCTAAGAACAACGAAGACTTGTCTCTCCCTGTAATGGTTTGGATCCATGGTGGTGCATTTGTTCGTGGTACACCTTATGCGAATCCATCAAATCTTCTGGAAAAGCCAGTGATTGTAGTTGTCATTGCTTACCGCTTAGGAGTCCTTGGTTTCCTAAATACTGAAGATGAAAACGCGTGGGGAAATGCTGGTCTTAAAGACCAAAATCTCGCACTGCAATGGATTAAAAATAACATTCGGAATTTCGGAGGGGATCCAAACAAAATCACTATCTTTGGACAAAGTGCTGGAGGAGCCAGTATAAGCTATCAATTAGCTTCGCCAAGAAGCGAAGGTATGACACAAGCTGACTGAGCTGAGTATTCTACACAAATCTTGACACAAATGTTATTTATTTGCTTTTTTTTTTATTTAAGGGCTTTTTGCTCAAGCAATTTCTCAAAGTGGTAATACTCTGAATGAATGGGGATTTACGAAAAATCCAAAAAAAATATTATTTCAATTCGCAAGACTGTTCAATATTGAATCAAATAATACTGCTGAAGTAGTTCGAGAACTTCAAAAAATAGATTATGAAGTTCTAGTCGATACCTCTCTGGTAATACTTAATATTATAGAGGAAGAAACAAACCGATCATGAAATTATGTAAATGCCTTTCTAGCAAGTTGATCGTTTTTTGCCATCCGTTGAAGTTGATCATCCAGGAGCTTTTATAGATCGTAGCACTTATGAAATCTGGACTAACGGTGATTTTAATAAGGTTCCTGTGATAATAGGCTACACATCGGAAGATGGCGCTTATGCTAAAGGTAAACATTTGAAGCGTTATTTATTAAAACATTGAAAACAAATATGAATCAGGTAGATACAGGCAGTACGCTACAAATTCTAAAAATGTCATTCCCGCTGGACTGAATGTCGACTTAGACTCTCCAATAGCTGATGAACTAGTGCAAAAGATTTCTGACTTTTATTTCCCGGATAGAGTATATGATAACTTAACGAGATCCCTAAACGTAAGAAAAAATACCATAAGCAATAATAATTTTTTAATCTCAGTCTAAAACATTAATTCTAACATCGGACTTATAATTTTAGTTTATGACTCAACATTATTTTGCAAGAGGTATTCGAAAGGTTGTTGGAGACCTGGTGAAGACAACACAGCCAGTGTATTTCTACAGATTCTCGTATGTTACAACGGAGAACTACACCAAAGGCGTTAACGGTTTGTTACTAGTACATTATACATATAAGGTGTTTTAAGAAATAATTTCCTGTCTATTAAATATAATGTATATAATATAATGATCATCGAAAACGTGTAATTATACAACACGCTACTGAAGTGAAACTTCTTCAAACACACAGACATACCGAGATAGCAGTTAAGGAATTGGTTTAATGGTTTTATTTGTACAATATGAATTTAAATTTTACACTGTACATGCCGGAGTTGCCTGTAACGAACGTAGCATTGAAGCGCGCTCACGGCTCAAGCGATCCCCACTACGAACTCGACTACTTGGCCGAGTAGAGGGGGGATATCCGTTGTATGATTTCGTTACATAGGAACTCGCATGAAACGAACTTACCCCACCGTGCGTAAAGAAGTTTCACTTCAAAAAATCATTTTAAAGTTTTCAATTGTTCAACAAAATGCGAAAAAATAATGAAACTTGCTGTAGGTGGAGCTGGACATGGCGAAGATAATATTTACATATGGAACAGTAAATTAAATACGAACGCTGATATCCTTATGAGAAATCGTCTGATAACGTTGTGGACCAACTTTGTAATTTACGGGTATGAGTCTGTAGTTGGGTCAATTTGGGTAGGCGAGGTACACAGTAAATTATTAGACTTGATTGCTGTCTATTTAACACTTTTACTAATTTTTTTTTAACATGCTGATAAGGTAACCTTTTTGTCAGTCCATCAGTTATAATCTATTGCAGACTTCGCCTTCCTCAACTGACCTAGGTGTACATTACTTATTCTATTCTTGGTGGCTTTGTAAAAAAAACTGTACTTGTATGAATATCCCATATTTGTAGAAATCCTACTCCAGTTCCGGAACCTCTTCTCGAGAACATAACCTGGCCAGACGCAAGAGGTGTCGGTGATGACGTTCGATATTTGGAAATTGGAAAACAGTTGGTGCCTGGTACAAATCCAGCCCAGGAAGATTTCTTATTTTGGAAGGAAATATTTCAGCAGTATTCAACATCAACAATTTACACATACTAACCATAAGATAATAGCTAATATAGAAAAAATATGATAATAAACTGAAATAGAATAAATAATATCAGAAAGGAGGACGAGACTGAGTTTTTTCTTTTAATAATCATACTTTTGCAATGTGAAAAATTTCGTAGACAATGTGCAGAAAAATGGAGATATATTTTCTAAAAAACGTTTATATGCTGATTGTTGATGATTGATATGTGTTAATATTAACTACAATACAAAAAATTATTGTAAAGAACAACATCCTGCATATCTAAGGGAGGTCTATATACGATTCGATTTTTTAATTAAACGTTTTATAGTCAGATGGTTACAGAATAATGTAGTAATATTAGAGGAGACTGTAAAAATCGCCAAGATTGAAAAAAAAAACAGTTTCATTAGCGTTTCAAATCACAAATGTTTTAAACAGCTTAATAAAGTCTTTATTAACTGTAGCTGGTATTTTTTGTAACAATATTACACGTAACTAATTTATATTTTTATTTTACATGTACATATATTTTTCGCAATATGATTTTGTTTGATACAGGGTGTCTAGAAATATTAATGATGAGACTTTTAGAGTAAAGCTGGTCAGAAATTAGAGGAGATCTAAAAATGTTTTAAAATATCTTTTAGATTTGAAAAAGCAGAATTATGAGTTATTAAAATTTGTAAAATATTTTATCTTTTGTATTGTTGAATGGCATCCTTATAAGATACACAATCTAATTTTAACACTCGATTTGTCACTTTGGACATTGACAAAAAAATAATTACCAACCAACGGATCCGATTAGATAAAGACTATAAAAGCACATCTAATTAATTTTTATAAATTAAATACAAGAACGTGAAAATGGCGTCATACTTTTCATCCGGAGTGACATTATTTACCTTTCTGTTAATTTGTATTAACGATACGTTTGGAGTAAGTTTTCTTATACAAGTTTTACCATTGAGGAGTAAAATTTTGTATTAAGCGATATCTCCAACATTGCAGTACAATTTGACAGTTCGAACACAAAGCGGATATGTGAGGGGCTACACCTGGAAGAGTTCTTCAAATCCTAATTTGGTTTTCTATGGATTCAAGGGAATTCCGTACGGAAAGCCACCTGTAGGCAACCTTAGATTTCAGGTAACTATGGCAGTTTGGTTAGTAACAGGTCAATTGAAAAGTCCCCGGCCAAAAATAGTAAAACACATTTTTTTTGCAAAATTCGTTTTTTTTATTCACTTATGAAATCTGGACTAACGGTGATTTTAATAAGGTTCCTGTTATAATAGGCTACACTTCGGAAGATGGTGCTTATGCCAGAGGTAAACATTTCACAACATTATCCATTGTAAAGTTGAAATCAGTTTTGATATTCAGGTAGATACAGGCAGTTCGCTACGAATCCTAAAAATGTCATTCCCGCTGGACTGAATGTTGACCTAAATTCTTCAGTGGCTGACGAACTAGTGGAAAAGATTTCTGACTTTTATTTTCCAGACAGGGTGTACGATAATTTAACGAGTTCCCTAAACGTAATATTACAAAATAATTAAGGCTTTTTGATTCTAACATCAGAATTTTGATTTAAGTTTATGACTCAACATTATTTTGCAAGAGGGATACGAAAAATAGTTGCAGACTTGGTGAAAACAACCCAGCCAGTATATTTTTACATGTTCTCATATGCTACAAAGGAGAATTACACCAAAGGAATTAACGGTTTGTTACTACAATTAGACTAATGCGATATTAATTTTTTGTTTTAATAAAAAATTTTTGTTAGACTTAAATAGTTATCTATCTGTATTTCTTTAAATTGCAATCTTGTATGTGAGCCTGATTTTGAGACATATGTGAAGGTAATGATGAAATTTCTTGTAGGCGGAGCTGGACATGACGAAGATGGTATTTATTTATGGAATACTACATTAAATACTGAAGCCGATAAGCTAACGAGGAGTCGTCTGATAACGTTGTGGACTAATTTTGCAATTTACGGGTATGTATCTATGACTGGGTCAAGTTGGGAAGTCGAAGTCTTCACTTTCACTGCCCTATTTAACACCATGACTCATTCTTATGCATTTTTGAGAAATTGCATTTACAATTGTTTACTGCAAAGTGTTTGAAACACACCTTTTTGTCAGTCCAATTACAATTTGTCTTCTTAAACATAAAACTGACCTGGCTGGACTTTATTTGTTCAATTTTTATTGACATTGTACCAGTGTATACTACTCGACTGCATAGATTGTCAAATTTGNACTGTATTTTTTCCCTTCAAAAAGCAATATTTTATCAACACGCGAAATTCCTTTTTATCCATTTTTTTCACAATAACAAAAGTTGCTTCACTAAAAATGCTATAATTCACAAACTAATGATCCGACAGCCGTCAAATTTATAGGCGCGTCTTTTGAAGGTTAGGACTAACTGAAAATCATATGGATTTAGTTCTGGTGCCGCCATCTATGTGTCAGGCCGGGGACTTTTCTATTGACCTTAGTACATGATATCTTAAAATTCTCCTATAAACTACAGGAAAATTCCGAGGCGACAGTTTTTCATAATGAATTTCAACAAAGTGATGCTATATATTCTACAGAATAAATTATAGTTAATACAGAAACCCTGATTTTGTAAATTTTGTATCAATTATCATAACATATACTGATAAGCTATTTAGAATTCATATAACAAGTATGCTACTGGTTTATAATTACTTGTAATAATGTTGATTTAAAAACATAGACAATTGAGCCCACGACAATTGTTTCGCGCTTACACTCCACTTGATCAACAATTATATCACGGGTTAAAAATAGATTGCGAAAATTTACAGTTGCCAGTTTTATTTATCTAAAATTAATATAAATTTCCAGGTAAACGCGGTTTTTTAGCGTGTGTTTGAAATTAGACAAACCACTCGATGTCATATCAAAGATAGCAGTTCTTAAAAAAATTAAAAAATTCCTGGCTTATTATCAATCAATCAAGCACTTAGATATTTAATTCAGATCTTTCTTAAGTTCCTTATCAATAAATGATATGCGTTGTTAGAAATGCGACAATAATATTGTATATGTAATAATAGTGATAACAATAAGAGAATAATATCCTTTCTGATTAAGATAAACTACTTTGAAAATACACACTGTACTATTTCCCATTCCCAAATTCAATCTAGGATCCGCAACCAGCTGAGCCTTGGGATGGGGTTAAAGTGGTCAAATCTAATCCTGATTCATGCGCAGCCCCCGAAAGTGGAACTGCCGGAAGTCCTTTAATTGGAAGTGAAAACTGCCTAAACCTAAATGTGTATATTACCCAAACCAATGAGGTAAATAAATAACAAAAATTTTTGTGTTGCACAAACCCCTAACACTTGCACACTTAAAGATACGTTATGAGAAAGTAAACAAATTAAAATGTTTTAATAGATACTCTTGTTTAGATGTTGACAATGTTTAAATATTAATAGAACTGCTTGAAATATTTCTAGAATACACTATACTTACTAAATTGTGCAGAACTAAAAATTTATCTAAAAATTCTAAGAACAACGAAGACCTGTCTCTCCCTGTAATGGTTTGGATCCATGGTGGTGCATTTGTTCGCGGTAAACCTTTTGCGAATCCATCAAATCTTCTGGAAAAGCCAGTGATAGTAGTTGTTATTGCTTACCGCCTGGGAGTCCTTGGTTTCCTGAATAGTGAAGATGAAAACGCGTGGGGAAATGCTGGTCTTAAAGACCAAAATCTCGCATTGCAATGGATTAAAAATAATATCCGGAATTTTGGAGGGGATCCAAACAAAATCACTATCTTTGGACAAAGTGCTGGAGGAGCCAGTATAAGCTATCAATTAGCTTCACCAAGAAGCGAAGGTATGACACAAACTGACTGACCTGAGTATTCTCTACAAATCTTGACACAAATGTTATTTATTTGCTTTTTTTTATTTAAGGGCTTTTTGCTCAAGCTATTTCTCAAAGTGGTAATACTCTGAATGAATGGGGATTTACGAAGAATCCAAAAGAATTAACATTTCAATTCGCAAGACTGTTCAATATTGAATCAAATAATACTGCTGAAGTAGTTCGAGAACTTCAAAAAATAGATTATGAAGTTCTAGTCAATGCTTCTCTGGTAATACTTAATAATAATAATAGAAAAACACAAACTGGTCATAAAATTATGTAAATGCTCTTCTAGAAAGTTGATCGTTTTTTGCCATCCGTTGAAGTTGATCATCCAGGAGCTTTTATAGATCGTAGCACGTATGAAATCTGGACTAACGGTGATTTTAATAAGGTTCCTGTTATAATAGGCTACACTTCGGAAGATGGTGCTTATGCTAAAGGTAAACATTTGAAACATTATCTGTTGAAACATTGAAAACAGTTATCAACAATAATCAGGTAGATACAGGCAGTTCGCTACAAATCCTAAAAATCTCATTCCCGCCGGGCTGAATGTTGACTTAAACTCTTCAGTGGCTGACGAACTAGTGGAAAAGATTTCTGACTTTTATTTCCCAGACAGGGTGTACGATGACTTAACGAGATCCCTAAACGTGAGTCTATTTAAATTATAAAAAATTACTACCTACCTATGATTTTTTAATTTCAATTCAACGGCTTTTACCCTAACAGTATAAATTTGATTTCAGTTTATGACACAACATTATTTTGCAAGAGGTATTCGAAAGGTTGTTGGAGACTTGGTGAAGACAACACAACCGGTGTATTTCTACAGATTCTCTTATGTTACAAAGGAGAACTACACCAAAGGAATCAACGGTTTGTTACTTGTATATTAAAGTATTATCATTATAAGTATTAAGGTTTATTGAAAAGTAATTGCTCGGTGGAGAAGGTTTTTGATTCTTTCTATTCGATTAGGTACAACTATTCTTAGATGACGTAACTAAGATACCTATTTAGATGAAATGCAGTGGGAGTGTTGCAGATGTTTACTATTTCTATTTCCTGTTTTTTGAAAATTAATTTAATGGTTCGATACTTCGTAGATGTTTGTCCTTTACCTTTTAAAGCTTTCTATTATTTAAAGAAACGCAAACCTGTGAAAAGAATAACGAAACTTTTTGTATTAGGTGGAGCTGGACATGGCGAAGATGGTATTTATTTATGGAACAATAAATTAAATAATGCAGCTGATATTCTAATGAAGAATCGTTTGATAACGTTGTGGACTAACTTTGTAATATACGGGTATGTGTTTCTTAAGAGTACTTGGTCGATTTAGGAATTCGAAGTACGCAGTAAATGATTAGATTTTACTACTTTAAAGGAATTAATGTGAGATTTCATTTAATTTTTTCCCACTATAAACTACCTCAAATTAATGAGGGAAAAATTTGCTGCTGTTGTTACTCCTAATCGGGAATCGAACCCTGGACCTCTGACTTTACGCACCAACGCCCTGACCACTAAGCTATGAGAGGTGACAACAGCAACAAGACAAACCGTACCTATTAGGTCACAAATATGTCGAACTAAAGTAACTATATAAATCTATATACGAGGGTGGATTGATAAGTTTCCGGCCTGACCAAGAAAAACAAGGTTTTTAAAAATTTTTTTTTTTTATTTCTCAACATAATCTCCTCCAAGGCTGATACATTTCTCATAGCGGTGTTCCAGTCTATTAATGCCATCTCTATAGACTGATTCGTCAAGCTCCTCAAAATAACCATTTACAGCTTCGATTACTTCTTCATTGTCCGCAAATCTCTTACCGCCAAGCCATTTTTTGAGATTAGGGAACAGAAAATAGTCACTCGGGGCTAGGTCTGGAGAGTAAGGAGGGTGCGGCATCAATTCAAACTTTAGATCGTTGATTTTAGCCGTCGCAACGATTGACGTGTGCGCTGGTGCGTTATCGTGATGAAACAAGATTTTTTTCTTCGCCAGATGAGGTCGTTTAATTTTCACCTCGTGGCTCAAACGTTGCAATAAGTCTGCGTAGTATTGACCAGTGATAGTATTACCCTTTGCAAGGTAATCAATGTATATAATACCTCTTGCATCCCAAAAAACAGTAGCCATAACCTTGTTCGCCGAAAAAATTGTTTTTGCCTTCTTTGGAGTTGGTTCCCCTGGTCCAATCCACTGTTTAGACTGTTCTTTGGTTTCAGGAGTGTAGTGGTGGACCCACGTTTCGTCAACGGTTACGAATCGACGCAAAAATTCGCTTGGATTACGCTTATACAATGACAAATTTGCGGTAGAAATGTTTTTTCGAATCAATTTTTGGTCGACTGTTAGCAAACGCGGCACCCATCTTGCACAGAGCTTTTCCATATGCAAATGTTGGTGCAAAATATGTTGCACACGTTCATATGACATCTTACAGGTCTCAGCTATCTCACGCACTTTCAATCTGCGGTCTCCCAGCACTATTTGATGAATTTTTTCGATCATATCTGGAGTTGTGACCTCAACGGGGCGTCCTGAGCGAGGCCCATCAGAGGTGCTCACACGACCCTTTTTAAACTCGGAAACCCACTGCTTAACGGTTGAATATGACGGGGAGGATGTCCCCAGTGTTGAGTCCATCTCTTTTTTAATTTCCTTCGGCGTTAACCCCTTCAAATAAAAGTATTTGATGACAGCACGATTTTCCTGCTTTTCCATTTTTACGAAAACCACAGAGGCGTCTTGTTCAGCGTGCTGTCAAACCTACACTAGCAAGGAGATCGGGCTGAAACTATAGCTACAAGCTATCCAAGGATGGTACTATAGAATGTCACCTCAAGGTAGGCCTAGTGGCGTCATCTCTTGGTTAGGCCGGAAACTTATCAATCCACCCTCGTATATAAAAGAAAGTCGTGTTAGTTACTTCACTTATAACTCAAGAACGGCTGAACCGATTTAGCTGAAAATTGGCAGGGAGGTAGTTTAGAGCCAGGAGAAGGACATAGGATACTTTTTATCCCGTTTCCGTGAAAAAAAGGTGGTATAAGAAAACGCAACTGACATAGAATGACAAAACGCAACTGACAGCTAAACGTAATATTGTCTATGGTTAAGTATGGTGTTTTATTTATAGTCAGATTTATCTGAAACTTAGTATTAATGCTTTTTCATATAAAATTAGTGACATACATACCTATTTCAACATTTTACAAAATTCTACCACTTTAGTAAGTTGAAAGGGGTTTGCAAAGATTGCATATTTGTTTTTAGTCCAATTTACTTGATACTGTTTAAAAAATTCAATCTTTATTGGGGGGGTAGGAGTGGTGAAGAGGAGTTGCAATGTTTAAATGGAAAATATATTATTTGTGGTCAGATTCACTTGAAACTTGGTATTAATGGTCTCTAATGTAATTTCTGAAAGACCATTTCGAGATTTTAAAAAATTCAACCTCCAACGGGGGGGAGTGGGGGGGGGTAAAAAGGTGTTGCAATTTTTGTTTGGGACATACTTTATTTGTGGTTGAATTTAGTTGAAACTTGGTATATATGCTATTTAGTATTATTAATCAAACAAAAAGAGGTTGCAACGTTTCCATGGGGTATATTTTATTTGTACTCGGATTTACTCGAAAGTTGCTCATTGTTGAAATTAAGCAAATACGTGTCTCGGCAATTTTTAAAAATCAACCCTTAAGGATGAAATGTTGTTGCTGCATTTGTATTTGAAATCTAAGATGACAACATTACATAAAATTAAAACGTTGAAAGGGTGAATTGGGAGCTAAAAGGTTTTATGGAGAAGCAATATTAGTTTCTGCGAGCGAAGCCGCCGGGAAAAGCTAGTACTATTTATATATGAACCATTTTGACATTTACTAGGGATTGATATCAAGCTAATGTGAAATTTCATTTAATTTTGTTCCACTATTGACGTAGGTTATGGTGGGAAAAAATTAATTTGTCTATTCTGCCACCCTATTGTTACGCCGGTGGGAGCTAATATCCATCCAATTATAATTTGATCTGTATCTACTTGCGTATAGTATACAGGTGTATAGGTTATGTTTTNTTCATTTACCAAATATTGGTAGAATTGCTTGAAACAATTTTAGAATTATTTTTCATATTGTGTCGTGTTTAATAATTTCATCGATAATGGATAGCGTGGATAGAGAAAGTTAGAAATGGGGATGTATTAGAATGAGTAGGAGAAAAGAGGGCGCTATGGAGGTAAATAAGAAATAAACGAATTAGGCTGATAGGACAGCTTCTCAGGCATCAAGGGCACGTTAGAGGCATATTAGAACCAGAAACAGGAGCTAAGAGGAGTAGAGGTAGACCTAAATTTGCAATTTTTTTCAATTGCAATCAATCAGCGTATATCACTGATTTAATTTATACATCGGCAAAGTTTTAAGAGTTTTCTTAATTATCCTAAATCAGATAAACAAGTACTTATTTGAGGATGTCCACATCTCACCAAATTGATAAAAACCTTGAATGATGCTACAAAGATAATACGAAAATAAAACAATCGTTAATGTGATGCCTTGCTATATATATATATATATATTGTTTTTAGATATGNTATATATATATATTGTTTTTAAATAAGTGTTTTTCTTCCGTTATCACTTCTTTACCAATCAATAACAAAATGATATTGTTGTAAAGATAACGATGAGTAATATTTATACATTTCTTAAAAAGGTGTTTGGTTTTAATTTTCGAAGAAAATCTATAAATAACCTACTGTATTCAACGTCAATTTCATTATAAGAATTAGCTACTGTAGTAAATAAATGAAACCGATGAAAAATAAATTTAGAAAATTAATGTTATGTAATGTACAGTCAATGCTGCCCGTTACTAAAGATATTCGTTTCTACCCCTAAACATCCACCCTTAGAGTATTTTAAATAGGACATATGGTCTATTCAATAAAAAAGAACCATTGAAATCGGTTTACAATATGAGAGAAAATCGCATGACATACTTACGAAATTGTACTATTGAACTTGAACTTTATTTGACATTAGTTGAAGATCTGATTATTCAGAATTGCAAATAGACATTGATATCAGATCTGATAAATGATATAAAAGCCTTACACGCTCTTATTCTCGTTGAATAAATGGTTAAAGAACAAGTTTACTTAAAATGTCTTTAAACGTTTTGCACTATCTTTGCATTTTCATATTTTTCGTAAGGCAAAGTTCAGGGGTAAGACGCATTATATCCAGTTTATTTATTAATTCTTACATTCCTAAGTGTTTTATGTTTAGTATAATCTAACCGTTTTGACGAAAAATGGCTACGTTGAAGGTTATAAACAACAAAGTTCATCGATCTCAAATGGGTACTATTACGCATTCAAAGGAATTCCTTTTGCAGAGCCCCCAATAGGGGCACTAAGATTTCAAGTAAGTCCCAGCTAATTTATAATAGGTATACTTATAAGCAGGGGCGCAACAAGAGGGGGTCCACGGGTGCCTGAACACCCACTCGATTGGGTCGGGCACCCAGTCAATTCCAGTCGATTCAGATAATAACCCAACTCGAAAGTTCGGTTCAAATAGTTCAAGCTCATAAATGAGCAGCCGAACTCGATCTTTTCAGTTTATACACACCTGCAGTATATAAATATTTATAGTATTATTATGGGAGCACCCAGTCAAACTGTAACGTTGTTGCGCCCCTGTTTATAAGGGTAATTTATTTTGTATTAATGTTGGTTTAGAAACTATAAATTAAAATATATATTTTAGGATCCTCGGCCAGCGCAACCATGGAAAGGCATAAAGCAAACCAAACGTTTCAAAGACGCATGCGCAGCTCATCAAAACAGTCGTTCTACAAGTCCTATAGTTGGAAAAGAAGATTGTTTATATCTAAACGTCTACATACCTTACACAGAAGAAGTTATTAGAGTAACATATTAAGTTTAGATTCTGTCTAACGACAACAAATTACAGGACAATAAAGATTTATCGTTACCAGTAATGGTTTGGTTTCATGGCGGCGCTTTTGTAAGGGGTAGACCTTTCACAAACCCGTCGTTCCTTCTAGAAAAGCCAGTGATAATGGTTGTACTTGCATATCGCCTGGGAGTTCTCGGCTTCCTCAGTACTCAAGACCAGAATGCTTGGGGAAACGCAGGACTTAAAGACCAAAATTTAGCGCTTCAATGGGTTAAAGACAATATCGGGTATTTTGGTGGAAACTCAAATAAAATTACCATTTTTGGACAAAGTGCTGGAGGGGCCAGCATCGAGTACCAGCTGGTGTCGCCAAGAAGTGCAGGTAAGTTACACCTACATATGAAAAGGACAAAAAAAAGGTTATTCGTATCTGTAAATGATCTTTAGGGCTTTATTCACAAGCAATAGTCCAAAGTGGAAGTACTCTTAATGAATGGGGGTTTCAGAGGGACCCCTCAGAATTAACTTTGCAATTGGCTAACGCATTAGGTATTCTTTCCACTGATACACAAGAAATAGTGCAAGAATTACAAAAAGTAGACTACGTCAGTCTTATAAGTAATTCATCGGTAAGTTTCAATTCAATATAGTCCAAAACGTTCAGTTATTTGGACAAATTATAAAACTTTTAGAAACATAAATTATGCACTTCTATGCCACTGTAATCATTATTACTTAATTTCCTGTCATCATAAGGTCATCAGTCCTAAGACTGAGTGGACACGCACATCCACTCTTTCCTATCCTAAGCTAATCTTCGCATAAACTAGAACATTCCACAATCGTAATTATTTGTTAACAGTAATCTAATCTAGATCTATCTAATGTACTCCTCTTAATACCTGTTTCTGTTTCCAAGGTTCAGTTCGACAAGTCGACATCCTTAAGGGTCTTGTCATGATTATATGTGCATACATAAATATAGCAAATTAAAATTAAAGATTCAGATTCATTGCTTATTTTCCCTTTTTGTGATAATGAGTGTAAAAACAGACCGAGCGGCATGACCTAGAGATTTAGACCATTGCTTAGAATTCGGGAGGACGTCGGTTCGATTCCAGGTCCGTCTGCCTTGGTCCAAGTTTTTCTGTGGTTTCCTTGGATCATCTAGGCAAATGTTGAGGCAGTAATATTCCACAGATAATCTTTCATTCTCTTCTGTCTTCATTTCGTCCGTCTCATCTTTCTCACCCGAACCACCACCCACCCATTCCCACGATTCCTGAAAGCAGGCTGAAGAGGGCCTTCCGCC